GACGCACCCTTGTTTAACCCCCTTAGAAACACTTATTTCCTTGGTGAGGGAGCCTTTATTGTCAAACCTCACTTGACAAAAATTGGCCGTATGCAGCTTCCGAATCAGAAATAAAAGGCGCTTGTCAATCCCTAATTTGAGAAGTTTGTCCCACAATAGAGATCTATTGACAGAGTCGAAAGCTTTACGGAGATCCACAAAAGCTACATAAAGTTTACTGCGCAGATGACGAGAGTACTTTTCAGCTAGAAAAGCTAGAGTGGTGCAATGGTCAAGAGTGGATTGATTCTCTGTAAAACCGGTTTGCTCTCGTCCAGGGAGATTCTGATCTGCCATCCATTTAGACAATTTGAGAAGCAGGTGTTTGGCGTATAGCTTCCCTAAAATGGAAAGCAAGCTAATTGGTCTATAATTGTCAATGTTGTTGGGATCCCCCTTCTTAAAAATCGGGACGACAACAGCACTCAGCCAAGAATTAGGAAGAATACCAAACTGATCGATCAGAGTAAACAGATGGGCTAAGGAACGCGACCACCATTTATGTAAGGTTACATCTTGGAACTGTAGGGGATTGAAAAACCCTATTATAAGGAAAAGAATTTCTAACCTAATGAAAAAGGAGAGACCTAATTTTTTATGCCTCCAAGAGACCCATGTTAAAAAATCAAATAAGAACATTTTACAAACTAACTGGTTTTCTCAGTGTTTCCAAGGCAACAGGTACATCAAAGGCCAGAGGAGTAGCCATACTCATCTCCAAAACTACTCCATTCCAATGCCAACAAGTGAAAATTGACCCCAAAGGAAGGTATATCTTTGTACAGGGTCTTTTGGATGGCTCCCCTATAACGGTGGCCTCCATTTACGCACCTAATTCTACACAGATTCCATTTATAAAGGAAACGTTCCAAAAACGTTTAGACTTCCAAAAAGGCCAAACTATTATAGGGTGTGATTTAAACTATTTAATTGACCCTAAATTGAATAGGACATATAAATCTAAAAAAGGAAAAGAAAGAAATACAAACTCAACCCCCACAGAGTTATATGATATTGTAGAACAATTTCAACTAATAGATGTGTGGAGATCCTTAAATCCTGGTGATAGACAATATTCTTATTATTCTCAAGTACACAACATATAAACGAAAATCGATTTTTCATTAACCACAAAATCTTTATTTAACCAAATTACTACTTCAAGAACAATTTCTGACCATTCTTGGATTAGTTGTACGCTAACAAACTCTGTATCAGATGAAAAAGCACCAGTGGTCTTTTGATACACTTTTTCTTCAAAACTCAACTTTCCTTGCTGAAATAAAAAAAAGAAATAGCGGAATATTTTCAATTTAATTCTGAATGTGGAGTCTCCTTTGATTTTGTATGGAACGCAATCAAAGCAGTGATTCAAGGTAAAATTATTTTATTGGCTTCCTCCTATAAAAAAGAAAGATTAAAATTAATCTCAGATCTCCAACAAAACATAAAGGCACTGGAAATAAGACATAGTAAATTTGGAGGTTAAAAAATTCTACATAAACTTAACCAGGAACGAAAGAAACTTGAATTATTGGAAACTTCTAAAGTCTGTAAACAACTATTTTTAATTAAACAAAAATACATAACTAAATTTCCTAGATATCTATGACTATTCAGAGAGTGAACCAAAAACTTAATTCAAACCTAATCCATGCAACACGTACTGCAAATGATCACCTCCATACATCCTCCCGTGATATTAATTCTACTTTTTTTTGAATTTTTTCAAAAACTATATAAATCAGGTGAACCTCAAAATGAGGTCATACAAAATTATTTTTTAAAAAATTAATTTTAATATTCATTTATCAGAAGATCTCAAAAATTGTATGGACCAACCTATTACAGCAGAAGAACTTTATAGTATCATTGGTAAAGCTAAATCCAACAAAGCTACAGGAAGAGATGGAATTCCCAGTGAATTTTATAAAGTCTTTAAAGATGAATTACTTTCACCTCTATTAAAAGTTTGTAATGGTGTTATGAAAGAAGGTCTATTACCAAAAACATGGTCAGAAGCCAAAATAATAGTTATTTATAAATCAGGTAAAGATAGACTAAATCCAGCGTCTTATAGACCAATCTCCATTTTAAATCATGATTTTAAATTATTTTCTTCAATTTTTGCGTCCTGTCTAAATAATATAATAAGCCATTATATACACCCTGACCAATCAGGTTTTATTCCTCAAAGATCAATATCGGATAATATACAAAAAACTTAAAATCTAATTGACTATAGTAAAACCCAAAAGATTGAATCTCTTATACCAAATGCCGAAAAGGCTTTTGATCACGTGGAACTCCCATTTTTGCAGACAATATTGCAACATATGAAATTTGGCCCAATTTTTTTTGCAGGTAATCAAATCAATTTATAAATGTCCAATTACTCAAATTAATATAAATGGTTTTAGGTCTGATAACCTTGTTTTTCAAAGAGGTACTAGACAGGGTTGCCCCCTGTCTCCCATCCTTTTTGCTATCTTCCTTGAACCTCTGGCTTTTGCTATTCGCAATGACAACAAAATAAGTGGTATTAAGATAGGGGGCAATGAGCACAAATTGAGTTTATTTGTGGATGACTCCATTTTTTATATATCCAATCCTGATTCTTCATTGAAGTATTTAATGCAACACAGAAGCATACAGCAATATCTCAGGATATTCAATCAACTATGAGAAATCTGAAATATATCCAATATATTTATTAACCCATAATAAATCATTAATAACTAAAAATTCCCTTTTCAATGGGTTTTTAAATCTTGGAAATATCTAGGGATTATCTTTCCTTTAAATTTTATTGACATATTTCAATATAACTATAATTCCTTATTATCAGATGTAAAACTCTCTCTAGAATGCTGGCATACATAACATTTTTCTCTTTTAGAAAATGGTCTGTTTAGACCTTTATAAAAATAAAAAACTTCTTTCTAAATCACAACTTGAATTTAAAGGAAAATTTGAAATACCTTGGATGCAGTATATGCAAATTAATCATCTAATGCATAAACTAGACTTTAAAAATTCACTTGATTTTATCCCAATTTGAAATCTTAATAAAAAGCAAAACCCTTTCATTGAGAGGCCTAATCTCAATTTTATACCAACTTCTTAGTAAAACTTCTTGGGAGAAACATATGACATCAATCTTGGCACAAAGATTGTTGAGTGAATTGGGAGTTAACACAGTGGCAATCTATATGGTCAAATAGTTTATATACTACTTGTTTATTAAATGTTAAGTTACAAAACTATAAGCTATACACACGTTGGTATATGACCCCTTTACTTCTTTCTCATATTTATGCCTCTTCAACTCCCCTTTGTTGGAAGGGATGTGGAGAGAGTCATTTAAACACTGTTGGTGGGATTGTCCCATCATTGCAAAATTTTGGTAAAAATTTTTAGAATTGATCGATAGAATTCTTAATTGCGATATCCCTATGACCCCTGAATCTGTCCTTTTGAATTTTTGGCCATCTTTACGGCTAACTAAACTAAAATCAGAAGTAGCTTCACTCTTATTAAGTGCTGCAAAAACATTGATTGCCCAAGTTTGGAAACTTGATAAAGCACCTACGATCCGTCAATGGTTTATTAAGGTATGGGATTTAATTGTTATGGACAAGTTAGCATCACAAATTTTGATGGCAGAAGTAATGCGAAAGAAAAATATATTTTTGGAAAAATTGTTTCCTTTTTTCGACTATGTTAATAACACAGAAAATAAAGAGTTGTAGCCTTCCAAAGAAATATATGGATATAATTGTCTATTGAACAAGTTGTTATTGTAGTTATCTATTTTTATTATTCATTTTGTTTGTATGTTATTGTATTTGTATAATAAGGCTTTTTACTGTAGAAATCCTATTGTAACATTGTGTTTTGTTATTTTGTATATTGGAAAATTAATAAAATAAAATATTTTAAAAATTAATAAAATAAAATATTTAAAACATATTAAAAAGAGAGAGAGCGGCATTTAAGAGGGGCAGATTGAAAAGAGTGTGGTAAACTCCACCAGAAACCCGCTGAAACAAGAACACTAGCCCACCCAATCCATGCACACACACACTACATACACACACTTCTTTCAACGCCCTTGGCAAGTGAGCAACCACAACTTATCCAAGCAAGTGACGAGGCAAGCGATCTAGCAGGCAAAGCTTCATCTCCACTCCTCAGCTGTGCTAGTGAAAGCCTGGGTGGGAGGGGGTGTGGGTTTTCTGAATAGCCACTTGCCTCCCCATTAGCTGGAGACTCCCCAGTTCTAACCAAGGCTGCTTTGCGCCTCCTTTGAAAGAAGGGATCAGGGCAAACTAATCCACAGTACTAATGCTTTGAAAGGCTCATCTGCTTCCTGGGAGGCATATAACATTTTCTAGCTAGTTCCTTTCCCTTTTTTAATGAAATCTGTTGCTTGTCAGTAGAGCTAACAACACCATGTAAGACTGCAAACGTCACATTGGAACAGGAACTTTTGTAGCCAGTAGGAAACTTGGAGTTCATTATATTTTATCGGGATTTCAGAGAGTTACATTTTTATGTATATGTTTAAATTACATATTTAGTTAATAGCTTGGATCCTACATAGAATTTCTGCAGGTGAAAAGGGGTGATTTTTGCCAGTTCTCCCCTCTAATGGGAGACCTCTGATTCTCCCACAAGTTATTCCTGGAGGTCCCCCAGCTCCCAAGAGCTGCACTTTCTGGGTATTTCAGGTGGTCATAGGGCGATCAGCAAAAGTTGCCCCCCCCCACTTGTGTGTGCATGGGAATTCTAGGTGGGATCTAAGCAAACAGGTTTCATGTTTTATCAGTAGACGTTTCATGTTTTCTTAGTTGAACTTCGCCCTCACTTTTTCTGAGGTCTGTCATATATTTTGTGTTCTATCTTATGCATGGAAAAAATGGTTTTTTACAACACATTAAGGTTCTGTTTGTGCTTAGGAATGGTGGTGGACGAAGTGGAATGTTCTGTTCCATTGGCATTGTAGTGGAAATGCTTAAAAGACAGAATGTTGTTGATGTTTTCCATGCAGTAAAAACGTTACGGAACAGTAAGCCAAACATGGTAGAAACACCGGTAAGTTCATGGATTTGGAATACTGTTTTAATTGGGCAACCAATGAAATTAAGAAATACTTATCTTATGAAAAAAGTAACCCAGGTGGAAGCATTCTTCCATAACAGTTACATTAACTGTAAAAATTTCAACATAATAATTATTATATTTTAATAAACTATAAATCTAAGTAAAGGTAAAGGTTCCCTTGCTCGAAAGCCAGTCAAATCCGACTCTAGGGTTGCGGTGCTCATCTCCATTTCAAAGCCGAAGAGCCAGCGCTGTCCAAAGACATTTCCGTGGTCATGTGGCCGGCATGACTAAACACCAAGGCGCACCCTGTACTTTTCCCCACACAATGAATGCCTGAAGAAATGCAAGATCTTTCTTTGTATATGAAACACATATGGCTTTGGTTAGCCTCTGCAAGTCTCAAAACACTAATTGAAACAGTCTGTTGCTGTTTCTTACTGTATTTCCATGATAGACACTATCAAGACACTATTGGCTATCCATAGACATAATTATGGTAATTGTGGAAGAGGAAATGGTTGGAGAGCACTAAGGAGAGGAACTGAAAGGCCACTTTAGGGAGGGCATGGAAGCAAGGGGCAGTCACTTCCTTCCAAGTGATTCTGCCCTTTCCAAGAGCTATGGTGATTGTATGGCCTGAGTCTTTCTGGCAGTCTTTTCTTCCAGAAGTCAACTATGAAGATCTTGGTAGAAGTCAAAGATTATTTTTGGGCATTACTAGGTGCAGGCAGATGATGAGGTATGCAAACAATACACACACACCCTGACTTGTCAATTTATTGGCAAATAAGGATGTGCCGATGGATTCTGAACTGGAGACTTCAGGAGGGTGATTGTAATGCTTGTCTTGCATTGATGGTTATTATTATGGCTACTGAAACACATACCCAGCTCTGTGGCATCTCTAGGGCTAATTCAAGTTACCTGTAGGCCAAACGTAACCATAGGTCTTTACTAGTGTTCACTACAGGCCCTTTGGAGACTCAGAACATATATGGTGTTATTAGCAATAAACCTTTTACCTAAAAATCCCAAGTGATTGTGTAGGGGTTTCCAACATTAAGGGTTGATATAGTGGGGGTGGGGGGTATAGTTAATCCACTGCAATTTTAGTCTGCAGTTACTAAATGAATGGAGTTGAGAGTTTTCAGTGTCATGTACTATGTGAATGTCCTGACTTGATCTCATACACAGCAGCTGTTCAGCTGGGTAAGGAAGTGAGCCAAGAAAACCAGTGTAGCATTGTCACCTGCCCTACATTCACCAAGACGATCAGATAACTAGACTGAACGGAACAGTAAAACCTTTCAGAACATTTTCCCCACTTCCTGCTAGCAGTTCGTAGTTTCTAGGCTATGATTATGAGGGAGAGGGGATTTTATTTTTATTTTTTTCAGAATAAAGAGAATTAAAGAGAGACAGTGTCTTATCACTCATCTTAGAAAGGATCTGATTATCTTTTCCTCTCAGACGGCAGGCCTTGGAGGAAAACCCATCTTTTAGAATCCATATCTTTGCACAATCAAGCTGCAAAGCTATACATCCCTGTTTACCAGCTCATTGAATTTCAAATTTCTCTCTCTTTGACATTAGGAATTTTTTTACAATTGCCAAAGCTGGCTGTACGTTTCATTCAGATTAACACCTTGCTGTAGTATTAAGATGTTGGTGCTAAGTGCTAAATACTGTTTGACTGTGTAAAATATATGTTGTCTTTTTCCAGAGGATAAATTCTTCATTGATAAGCATATGGAGCAGAGGTCCATCAGTGGCTATTAGCCACAAGGTATAGCTAGGGGCTCTGGGGCAAGTGATGCTCTGTCTTCTTGGTGCTTGGGGGGGGGGTCAACAGTGGGAGGGCTTCTAATGTCCTGGCCCCACTGCTGGACCTCCTGATGGCACTGGTATTTCTGGCCACTGTGTGACACAGAGTGTTGGACTGGATGGGCCTTTGGCCTGATCCAACATTGGCGTCTCTTATGTTCTTATGTTCTTATGATAATGAAAGCTGTGTTTTGTAACTGGTGGAACAGAACAACAAATCATAGGGAAGCCAATACACTTATTATCTTCCCGGCTAGCTGTCTTAAATTATGATTAGATCTCAAGCCATAGCTAGCAGTAAATTCCTAAGATTTACCAAAAACTGCACATAGCTAAGGAAAACATACTTTAAAATGTCATGACCCTCTAATTTTTCCCCTCCTAGGAGCAATATCGTTTCTGCTATGATGTCGCTTTGGAGTACCTTGAATCGTCTTAGTGTGAAAGGAGAGATGCAATTATGTGAACCAAATAATATGAAACTCAATAAACTGTATTTTGGCATCGGCTGTTGAGCCTGTGAAGAAAGATTTTAGTGAAGGGAAGACTTAATTTTTCAATGCAGAAGTATTTTTCTTAATAAATGGTGTACCTTAATAATGAAAAAGAGGACTATTTGTTTCCATGCCTGTATGCAGTATGAGGATTCAGTGCCACATAAATAAGGAGGAGCTGAGGCAGATCACGTCTGTTGCTCTAGGTAGGACTTTTAAGTGTTTGTATATTCAGCTGTCTCTCAGTTACACTAGAGTCACCATCTGTTGCATGTATCGATTTCTATACGATATTTTATTTCTCTTTGTTCTTAATTTGATAAACTGTTAAAAGTAAAACAAAACTGTGCAGATCGATAATCTCTGTAAGTACCACGTGTTGCAAGAAATATATATATATATATATGTAGAGAGAGAGAGAGATGTATGATAGATAACTGGCTTATTTTGTTTTTAATGTGCAATGATGGCCTGATCACAAAGTTCTTTATAAAGAAATCTAAACATAAGCCAAAGACTCAAGTGTAAATATGTCAATATGAAAAAGAAAGCACATTGTATTTATTTACTGACATTCCTTCTATGATGGCTGAACAAAAACATTTTTCCCTCTTGGAAAGCTTTTTTTTTTTTTTTTGCTGAAATCAAGTGTAAACGATTTTTGTAGATTATTTTTTGTATGGTTTTTGTGTAAGTAGAAAGAGCCTTTTTATGGGTAGACCAGAAAACATTGGTATAGTGATCTCTTGTGTGTGTGTAAATGTTTGTGAATGAAATTCATGTCAACAGCTTGATTACCGAAGGTCTATATAGGACCGAAATCGAAACCTCTTTCTCAAAATGTATAGTTTTTACTATAGATCAAATGGAAACTGCCTTGCTTATGGCCTTGCTTTTGACTTGCACAATGTGAGAAGTAATTTCATTATAATTTTTAAGGGAACAATGCTTTGAAGCACACAACAAAAAAAGCAAGATATGTTTTGTTAGAAGAATAATGGAAGTAAGCCAACACATTTCTTTTACTATTGATGGATTGAAGATTATATTTAGCATTGGTGGCAGAGAAGTGTGTGCAACCTTCTCCCATGCCCATGTTTGGAGACATTTTGAAAGATTTTACTCCAGTTGACGTTTCAACAGGCAAGTCCCTTTGCTGTTTGAAGACTGTTCAGCTGCAGTGGAAACTTCCTGAAACTACCAGCTGCATACAAACTTCCTTCCCACCCACAAAATAGTAGTTTAGGGTTGAAGTGACTGGAACCCTGTCCCCTGACAAAGCAACAATTGAATGGCTAAATGCCAGAGTCAAGCTGTAGGTATATAAAATATCCATGTTTTTACTCCACTGTTTGTATTCACATTCATACCCCTGGACCTATTTTGCTAATGAAAATCATTCATTCCTTTATCCTATTGATTTTTATGATCAAGAATAAATGACAAGGTGCTTATAAATACTCATGTAAAGTGTGAATTAAAGAATTTTTTTTAATTAAATGTAGATATCCTGTTGTTTTCTGTTTGAATCAAGCTCACTGTAATTGAAAGCTTTGTTCAGGAAGCTCAAGGCCAAATGGCAAACATATGATGGAAGTAGAAGCTTTCATCAGTTTCCTTCCCGTTACTGTGTGAAGGTCCACTTGAGGTCCAGTGACCTTGAGAATGCTGGACACTGAATTTGCCAGAGCATGATTGTGGATGTAGATGAAGTTATAGTTCAGGAAAGGAGCATTAATACTTTTATTGAATATATCCAAAAACTTACTCAAAGTATTACAGGGTTGCCACTTTCTGGAAAGTCGCGGAAAGTCATGGAAATGAAAACTGGTCAGGGAAAGTCAGGGAAATTGTGATTAAAATATATTCAAGCAGTGGATTTTTTACCTGATGCTACAAGAGCATGATCCGTTCTTGTGACAACTGGAATAGAGAAGTGGCAGAATATAAGTAGAACTTAATGATGCCCTTTCCCAACATTTTAGATAGAACGTAATTTTTAGTGTACCTTAAAAACAATAGCAAAAATGTTATGTCATTTGTTAGCATTCAGAGTTCACTTGAATTGAAATTTGTATCGGTGTAATTTTTGGTGCAATTGCAAAACAGATGTTGCTGCAGTTAATGTTGAAAGAAGCTGATATTAAATCTCTTTGACAAATATTTTTGCAGTCGAGACTTGTGTAGTTGTAGAGTGGAACCTTACCTTGCATTAATGCAATAGGACCAGTGTCCCCTCTAAGCGGAGTTAGTGTGAGCTAGCTCACAGTTTTTTAGCCTCCGGCTCACACATTCTTGTCTTAGCCCAGGAAGGAGGGCTCCGGAGCAAACTAATTTACGCAGTAGCCAAATCGCTCGCTCACAACTTTCATGCCAGTAGCTCACGAAGTAGAATTTTTGCTCACAAGACTCCACAGCTTAGAGGGAGCATTGACCTATTCATTTTTTAACTTGTGGTTATATTTGAATGGTGGTCAGGGAAATTGACAAATGTTGGTCAGGGAAAGTCAGGGAAATGAAAAATAAAATTTTAGTGGCAACCCTGTATTATGCTGTCTGTAACAAGTATTCAGTATAGACGAGTTTCTTTTATTTGCATTATCTGTGATTGTGACACTCTATACTTGGGTCATCACAGCTCCATACACTGCTGCCTGCCCATCTTTGCCCAGCAAGTCATTTTTTTCAAACATATCTGTCTTGGAAGCTGCAGCGGGGGCAGTTACTGCTCTATATAGTTCTGTGTTTGTCCAAATAAGATCAATATTCATTAATTTCATTAGCCAGAATATTGGCCAAATTTGGGGGGAAATGTAATTTTTACCCTGCTGTTCCATTTCCACATTTATATGCCAAACAGAATTGCACAGGCCAACAATATTATAGAGTACCATTAGCAAACAAAAGCATAAAATCTCAACTATAATTACTGTACATAGGTATAACTTTTATGGCATTTTGAATTGATCTCGATGGTCTAGAAAACTAGAAATTCATCCTTGTGATATAATAGGAGGAGGAGGAGGAGAGTTGGTTTTATGTCTGTTCCTCTCCCCACAATAGACACTCTGTGAGGCAGGTGGGGCTGAGAGAGCTGTGATTGACCCAAGGTCACTCAGCTGGCTTCATGTGGAAGAGTGGGGAATCAGACCTGGGTCTCCAGTTTAGAGTCCTGCCATTCTTAACCACTATACCAAATTGGCTCTCACCAAACTACACCAATGTGCAGTGGCTCCACAGCAAAAAAAAAATACTGTTGGTTGGCTTTGAAAATCTGGAAAGCTAATATTTACTTTTGTCAAATTTCTTTTGCCATTATTAAAAAAAATCACTTAGCAAACAAGAACATGAAATACATTGTCATTTTATCTGTGTCCCAATCAATCATGCTTAATGAGCTCAGACAATTACCTACCATCAGGTGGTTACTGTCATAAACATAAGGGCCGAAAAAATAATTTCAGTGTATGGAGAAATACATTTTACTTTAGAGGCTTGGACTGTACCAAACCTTTACCTTGAAAGCCAAAGTGATGTGGTGGTTAAGAGTGTTGGACTAGGATTTGGAAGCCCCAGGTTAAAATCCTTGCTCATGCCATGGAAGCTTGCTGTGTGATGCTGGGCCAGCCACACACTCAGCCTAACCTACCTCCCAGGGTTGTTGTGAGGATAAAAAGGGTGAGAGAAGAATGATATAAGTTGCTTTGGGTCCCCATTGGGGTGAAAGGTGGGTATAAATGAATTAAGTTTTTTAATATATATATATATTTCCCCTCTCTGATAGCAGAGAACAGGTGCAAGGGGGTGGATCAAGCCTCGCCTAGCCCAATGCTTTAGAAATGCTAATGCATCCCTGACTGGAGACAATGGGATGGTCAAGTCACACTTCCAACTAGAACACAATGACACCTAGCAGGAAAGAGAAACGTTGGAGATTTACAATGCTAGAAATTCTTTCCCTAGAATATTCAGTAATAGCATCTTTGACCTACAGAAGGGGTGGGAAACAGATAATAAAACCCCTTGACATGGAGGGGGAAGCTGTCTTTTGCTGATTCCACCTAAGGAGAAGGAGCTATTATACCTGGGCTCCTGCTGACAGTCTCCATTGCCATGTGGAGGCTGGTTGCCTGGATCAGAGTCACTAAGGTAATGAGAAGCTTTTATAACAGTGTAACTTCTAAGTTAAAGAACCTGCCTTAGAATAAGATCAGCTAGGGCACATACAGAGTAAAGTATGGGGGAATTGCACAATTACGCCTTTCTTTTGCTGTCCTTTGTTCAATCTGTTGCTGTTCTGAGAATATGCTTGTGACAGTTCAGTCAGTGTATCTTATGTGACTTAATAAACACAATAACTAAGATTCAAAGAATAATTTGTCAAAGTTGGGTGTGGTGAATGAGGGGCAGGTGGCACATTTGTAATGATGGAAAACATCTGAGGAGTCACCCAAACTGGGAAATGTTGATTCTACAACCAGGAGTGAACACATGGCATCTCTTTGATACATTAACACCTTTCAGTAGGCCAAATGGGCATGGTGTGCTGTTAGGCACCAAAACCTAAGGCCCAGATTGGTTAAGGTCTTATTTGACGTACATGTGGAGAATCCTGGAAAGCAGCTGTCCCTTTTGTTTGGTTTTGTCTGTGTGGCTGCATGTGAAGCTATACAGAAGGACCATCACCCACTTTACACACACACACAGTTGCATCTCTGTAAGAGGCAGTGGCATGCTACCCAAGAGGAAGATCCAAATCCCACTCAATGGGTGTTAGGGAGCAAAGGAATGACTCCTGGCCCAGCCTTTGAGCAAGGCTGCGTTTCACTAACTCACTGGAGGGTAATACGCCTGAGTGGAGAGTGGTTGCTGAAGAGCTAGGCAGAACCATAACAGGAAGAGAATGAAGCCATCTCCATTAATCAGAGGAAAAGCGTCACCTTCAAAGGCAGCCATGCAAAAATGGAATACAAGGAATGCAAGTTTGTACAGCTCTATACAATTGGCTTTTAACTAAACCTATTTCTTTGTGTAAGAACTTCTGGACAAAATCCATGTTCCTATTCCATGCACCTCCGTGTTTAGTCATGCCAGCCACATGACCTCGGAAATGTCTTTGGACAGCGCTGGCTCTTCGGCTTGGAAACGGAGATGAGCACTGCCCCCAAGAATCGGATTCGACTAGCTTTCAAGCAAGGGAAACATTTACCTTTATTTACCTTTATTCCCATTTGAGACAGAAAACATTATATTTAAAAG